AACAAAGCGCTGGAGAGTTCTGAAATGACCAGCAATGAGTCCAGATCTGAATTCTATAGAACACTTGTGGAGAGATCTCAAAACAGCAGTTGGGAGAAGTTATCCTTCAAATCTGAAGGCTCTGGAGTAGTTTGCAAAAGAAGAGTGGTCCGAAATCCCAGAAGAGAGGTGTAAGAAACTCAGTCATGGTTACAGAAAGCGAATGATCTCAGTTATTTTTTCCAAAGGGGGTGCTACCAAATATTAAGTTAAGGGCGCCAATAATTTTGGATTGTAAGATCGAATCCATGTGACGGAGTGAGCTCCCATCGCTTTGTCCCAGCTCCTCGCCAACCTAGCAGTTCAAAAGCATGTAAAATGCGAGTAGATAAATAGGTACCACCTTGGTGGGAAGGTAAACGGCATTCCGTGTATAGCTGTGCTGGCCACGTGACAACGGAAACTGTCTTCGGACAACCGCTGGCTCTACGGCCTGGAAACGGGGATGAGCACCGCCCCCTAGAGTCGAACGTGACTGACTAAAATGTCAAGGGGAACCTTTACCTTTACCTTACTGCATATGTAGTAAAAGCCTCTGTTGCAAAATTTAGAGCACCACTTTGCCTGGATGAGAAATTAACACAACAGTCTTACAGTGACTGCAATTTTTGGCATGTGCTTGCTTTGTGATTGGAAAAAATATTGAATGTTTCCAGTCTACGGGCTATGGTTTTCTCTTCCTTATTTGTTGGGATGTTCTTCTCTACTCCTGATAATTTATATGTTCTAAGTGCTTTGAGCCCAGTTTTTACTTTGTGCTGTAAAACTCCAGGTTCTTTGTCACAGGGTTCCTCCTCAAAGGAATTTGTGATTCTTGCATCTCTTTTATTTAGTTCTTCAGTAATTCATATACTCACCTTTGATCGTTTGGCATTCCTAATCTTGGTTTGAACCTGCCTTTGCTTTTTTGGATCCTGCAGAAGAGGTCAACTGTTTTTCCTTTGTTGGTTGCCCACTGCTATGATTTTTTTTTTTTAAAAAAAAGCTCCTTGTCCCTATGTGCAAATCGCTGAAAAACTGTATTTAGGATGTTGACCCTATTTCTGTCATATTCTTTTCATCTGTTGTTCTGTTTCAAGAATTTCAACAATCATCCATCAAGGCCTCTCTCTCTTTCTCTCTCAGCTACAGTAATACAGTATCCTTTTTTGCATACTTCCCTGATTATATTTTTGGTCCCATTCCACAAATCTTCTGGTGCACGTCCAATAGAGATTACTAATGGAACTGTGTTCTTTCCATGGTTTTTAGATTCCCTAGGAATGTTCTTTCATTTTATTTACTTATTTTTTTGTACTGTACTATGGTTGTTTTTCTGTTCTTAACCTTTACTGTTCTTGTTTTTTTGGCATTAACAGTCCGTGGTCTGCTCCTGGTCTTTTTTTTCTTTTCCTTTTCTGCATGTTTGTCCCCTACCCTTTTTGCAGAGAGAGCAGATTTTCTCCACCTCCTGCTTCTAATTATATAGTGTATTTGATTTCTGCATTGGACATCTGATGATGATATCCACAGATACAATTATCTATTTAGTTGCTGGAAGCATGCATTTCTAAGAAGTAGATTGCTGGCTTCACAGAACTCAGTGAGCCACTCCTGCTTCTTTTCTGTCTCCTGGGCCAATTCTCAAAATGTTTGGTTCTGCTTTATTTCCTATTTTTGTGTTTTATTCACCTCTGACTATAGATGGGCACAAACTGAGTCATACCCCTTTGTACGAAGTGCTCCCTCCCCCACCCCACCCTGCTGACTGGCCCATTCATAACCCACTGCATACCACCAGGCTCCTCTTTCTCCAGTCCAGGCAGGAGCTCCAGCTACTCCTTCCCACCTCCTCCAGCAACTGACCACTCAGACTAGAAGGTGGGACAGGTAACCTCCCTGTGCAACTGTTGAATGGTTGGCTACCAGAGGAGACATAGAAGGGAAGCCCAAGCTCTTGCTCAGACTGAAGTCACGCCGGAGAAAGAGGACCCTGGTGGTGTGCAATGGATTGTGAGTGGGCCAGCCGGCTGGTGGGCAGGGAAGTGAACATGCAGTATCTGTGATACCATGCGGAGCACTTCATATGTTTCATGCCCATCTCTAGCTCTGACTATCAGCACATCCTGTTTTTGGTGCATGATCAAATCCTGTACACAGGATAGATGTATTTTAGCCTGGTGTTTCAGTGTTAACCTTTCACCTTAGTTCCAGAGTTAAAAGAAGCAATTAACGCATCCACTATGACCTGTCCGTCGTGGGTGTCCCTGCACGGCATAGCCCATAGCTTCTCTGAATTACTCAAGCCCCTTTGCTACGACAAGGCAGCAATCTGTGAAGGGGAATGCATCCAATATATACTTGTCATTAAAAGAATATTTTGTTGGTTACAGAGGGATGCTAAACTTTTAAGAGATTTTTCCTTATTAGAAAATCAATGAGTTACATTGAGGATAACTAGGTCCTCTTGAAAGCTGAATCATCTCTTTCAATTTTACCTTACACTGCCAGTTGGCTACTTCTAAAGCGCAGCTGCTGTCTATTTCCTTTCCATTCTGAAAACATTAGTGGAGCAAAGAGTATTAGATCATGTCACACACAGTGTCAGAGGGCTTAGCTAAATTGGACTAGGCTGAATCAAGCTAAATAGGGTCATTTAACGTCACATAGAGATGCAGTATGCCATTTGGTGCAATCAGGTGATTCTGAGTTAGAAAAGTACACCTCACCTCAAGCAACCCTGTTTGGCCCATCTATCTCCCTTTAAATGGAAGGAAGGAAAGAAGGAAATACAATCCTCTTCTTCATTCTCTCCTGCCTCCTTCTTCTTCTGAGAGGAAGCTTTCAATTTTTAAAAAATATAGTCTTAAAGACATAGCACATCAGCATTGCCCTACAAGGCTTTAAAAACAACAACAATCTTTGCTTCCTCTCCTTCTCTATAGAGGAAAGAGGAAGCTTTCAATTTCCCAATATTGTTAAGTGGCTTAAGCTGTCTATGTAAGCCACTTAACAAAATAGATAAATTGAAAGCTTAAGTAATCTGCTTTGGTTCAATCCCAGCGATCATGTGTGCTGGAACAAAATCAAAATGAAGCGATCCTATCTGCACCTAAAAACATGTAAATCCCATCCATTTCAATGGGACTAAAGCATAGCCATTAATGCGCCCCTGAAGCTATTCAGTGACATTTCCAAATACCTTCAAATCATCTGAAATGTGCCTCTCCCTGTTAGGTAAGTCTAATCCTATCATCATATACCACATTTAGGCAAACAAAATACTGCTGGTGAGAATCCTCACTCCACCTCATCTCTTTATGAGAAATTTCTGCTGACCTGTTTTAAAAGGCTGATATCAACCCCATTACTATGATCATTCTATCATCCTGAAATTATGTTTTAGTAACTTCAAACTAGAATCCAGACAATTTTTTCTGTAAGAATACATCTAAGCACGTTATAAAATACCCAGAGGGACTCAGCAAAAACTGTAATTGTAAAAGGAAGGGGAGTATTTTAAGGAAAAAGGTAAGGGAAAAATGAAACTAGGTCACAGAGCAACTCCATGAGGAGTGAACATGTTCCTCAAGAATAAAATGCTGATTTAACAGCTGACAAAGAAAACCGAAGCACTAATAGGATAGGAAATGGAACAGGCTATCATGAAGAGGGCATGGCTGGCTGGAGAGAAGCAAAGAAGAGGGAGAGAAGCAAACTCCACTGCAAGCTTCTTGAAGACTCCACATGCATTTACTGAATTCCATGATGCACCCCCAACAGACAGGCAGAGAAGGATGTTGATGTATAACTTCAGTTATGCCATCTCTTTACTATCATGTTACTGTGGATTTTGGGCCCCATGTTCATGCTTGTGTCGATATACCAGTGTCATAGTGTGCCATGGAAAGGCCACACCATTAACATATACCAAGGTATGAATGGTAGTGAGCAAAAAATTATATTCTGTAGTCCACCTTGACTGCTGCTGCCATTGATGTGTCCGATGTTTGCTATGTAAAGCTTGGCATCTTTTTTCCTGCCAGCAACATGGGCAAGATATTGTGCACCAATATTGGGCCATTTCCTGGCTTTCTGAATTGTAGGTACAGAAGCACCAGATCCCACACTCATAGATGATAAGTTTTTTTTTTTGGAAGACTTGAATATGAAATTAGCACTATTTTACCTTATCAGGAAGATATGGAGGCAGTGACAGATTTTACTTTCTTGGGCTCTGTGATCACTGCAGATGGTGACAGCGGCCACGAAATTAAAAGATGCCTGCTTCTTGGGAGGAAGGTGATGACACACCTAGACAGCATCTTAAAAATCAGATACATCTCCTTGCCAACAAAAGTATGTGTAGTCAAAGCTATGGTTTTCCCTGTAGTGATGTATGGACGTGAGAGCTGACTGCGGAAGAATTGAATTCTGGTGCTGGAGGAGGCTCTTGAGAATCCCCTGGACTGCAAGGAGAACAAACTTATCCATTCTGAAGGAAATCAAGCCTGCGTGCTCACTGGAAGGACAGATCCTGAAGCTGAGGTTCCAATACTTTGGCCGTCTCATGAGAGGAGACGACTCCTTGGAAAAGTCCCTGATGTTAGGAAAGTGGGAAGGCAAGAGGAGAAAGGGACGACAGAGGACGAGATGGTTGGATAGTGTCACCGAAGCGACCAACATGAATTTGACCCAACTCCGGGAGGCAGTGGAAGACAGGAGGGCCTGGCATGCTTTGGTCCATGGGGCCAGGAAGAGTCAGACACGACTAAATGACTAAACAACAACAAAAACTGATAAGATTAGTTTAGTGCTAGATTGTCTCTCAGTAAAAAAAATTGCGGACAAAACACAAACAACCCAGATGAAACAAAAGTTGTTCCCATAGTAGGTGGTATTTTGGTACGTGTAAGAACTTTGGAATGCTGACACCTTTTCTGGGAGAGGCTGCTTGACAGTGAACCATAAAGGAAGGGCATAGGAGGGACCAGAGGAAGGAAGGAAGGAAGGAAGGAAGGAAGGAAGGAAGGAAGGAAAGGGGTCTATGGCGTGAAGGGAGCTATGGCATTGCATCGCGTGTGAACACAACTCCCGAAGCAATCCCCAGCCCCTGCGTGAATCACTGCCTGACAAGTCATTCGTAGTACAGGGCGGTGAGGGAGGTGGTGCTCGTCCGGTCCCAGTCTATGAGCCACGAAGATGCCCCCCCCAACACACTTTCCAAAAACGGGAAACTACAGAGAGACCAGCTTTATAATCTGACCTCCCTCACTAAGAATCGATCCCTCCCAGCCCCAAAATTCCTGTCAGCTTCTTAGGGGAGGACTAAAAAGAGAGACAGAGGGAGCGAGAGCTGCCTTCTGGCCGCTTTTTTAAAATTTATTTTTATTTTTATTTTTTGGCTGCAGGCACGATCAATCATGGGCAGCACCACGGATTCCATTCCAGACCAGAGAGTTGCGACTGGACGAGGCAGCGAAAGGCGGCGGCCGTGCGAGGCAAGCCAAGGCGGTGCGCATGCGTAACCTGGCCTGGGCTGTGCCGCCGCGTCGCCTTCGGTCCTGCCTCCCTCCCTCCTTCCCTCCGTCCCTGGCGTGCGCGTGGCGGCTCCCCCTCTGCTGGCGGAGGCGATTGCGGGGCCCGGGCGTTTCATGGCTGGCCGCGGGGGATCATGACCGATTACGGGGAGGAGCAGCGCAACGAGCTCGAGGCCCTCGAGTCGATTTACCCGGACTCCTTTACAGGTGGGGCAGCTCCGCGTGGGTAAAGCAGGGCTGGACGCCCGCCGTGCCTCTGGGGTGACTGTTGCAAGTTTCCCTCCCCCCCCCGACATGTGACAAGAGTTGGAGATTTCCTTTCCTCCTCCTCCTCCTCCTTCTGTGTTCCCTTTCGCGTTCCTTCCGTCCGGGCTTCTCCGCAGACGATCGGAGAAAAAAAAATGCTGCCGCCCTCCTCTTCCTCTTCCCACTCCGCCGCCCCCCCTCATGCATTTTCAGCAGCTGCTGCCAGTGCCAGGATTTTGGGGCGACGCAAGGGCCCTGTCACCTTGCAGAGGCGATCTTGCTGGAGGTTGGAAGAAGGGGCTGGAATGATCATGAATTATAATCCCTTCCTTCCCTTCTGGGGCAAAGTGGCTGCTCTGCTCAGTAACTTCTCGAGCGAGCGGAGACCTCACTATTCATTCTCCTGCAGGGAACGTGTATTCAGGCATTCTCTCTGGTCTTGGTAAAAGTCACACACTTCTGCTGTACTCCAGGAAATTGTGGATTTTAACACAGTGACCCTGTCTGGTTCAGGCTGAGAAGTCACTTGTTGGTTGTATAGCAATTTAAAGGGGGAAGGCAGCTTTTTACATACTGTCTTTTTAACTTGTCTGTTTCAAGAAGATATCAGAGGCTGTTTAACTTTATAGGAAATGTACGTGCCAGTTTCAATTGACATAAGAGAGAATTTTCTGAAACTCATTGTTGCTTCTTTCCTCAATAGTGTTATCAGAAAACCCCACAAGTTTCACAATCACAGTGACATCTGAAGCAGGAGAAAATGGTGAAAGTAAGTTGAGTTTCATTAAATATTGAGATAAAAAGAGGTCTCCCATGGAGAAATCCATTTTGCATGAAGTATTGGAGAGTAATAATAATTATTGCATGCCATCAAGTCAATTCTGACCTAAGGTGACCTTTTGCAGAGTTTTCTAAGTAAAGAATATTTAGAAGGGGTTTACCATTCCTTTTTGTGAGGATGCCTGGCAGTTGTGCCACTCCCAGAAGCCTTCACATTAGCTGTACTAGCCAGGATATCTGGGAATTATAGTCCAAGAACACCTGGGACCCAGTGTTGGGAGCCACTGCTATATATAGGCTGGCTCTTCTCCTGGGAATTGCCACAGTGGGCAATTGAACTCTGCAACCAGATACTGAACTATCCAACCAGCCATTGAAGGTGAAAATTATAAAATAAGGTAACTGTTTGATAAAGATAAGCTGGAAATCTTTGATTTCTTTATGGAGCTTTATTTGGAAATAGTACATAAAACAGAGATTGGAATCCCTCCTTGAGAGTTTTTTAAAGGAGAAAGCTGGACATTTCAACAGAGTAGAACAATCTACATGTTTTATAAAAACTATATGCAGTGAAGAACAGTATGTTGCTCAGATTCCAACCTCCACGTTCATGCAGCAAATTTCCAGGAGTAGACTGGGAAACATGGTAAAATGTTTTGAGAAAGTTCTTTTAATGTATGCTGGGTGCTTCTGGTTTTTTTTCTGTGCATTTTCCATGCTTCTTTTATGGAATTGTATAGGGGGGTCCACATGACATGCTTGTCCCTTTGAAACTTTTTTTCACCTCTCCCTAATTGCCATCACCCCTGTCTTCTTTGTACACGCGCGCGCACACACACACAAGGAAAAATCGGAATAGCTGCATGTTGTGTTTTGATAGAGCCATCTGTTTGGACCCATGTAATTAGCCCAGTAAACAGCAATAATTTCTTGGGTAGCTTCTTTCAGTGCACATGCACATGTTTGGCAAAGTGTTTTTATGTTCTCACCATCCTGAAAACTGCACACATGAAAAGATTGCAGTGGGAGAGGGGGGAGATTACAGGATGCAAGAGGTGAACTCTTGCACAAAGGGCTTAGCATGTAGATCAGACAATGCTCCCGTTTAAAGTATCTTTCAGATTGCTTTTTTTGCTTGAGATTTTAGCAGAATATGTTGGAATGAATCGTTTGAGATGTAGAGCTGTATGCAGACATCACAGTGATGAGTTGACAGGCTGATGCACACTTCACCATCACTTCCCATGAGTGTAGCAAAACAACCTGTAGCTCTCTTGTGGTATTTTTAATGTGCATGGAAGCAGCAATCTGCCATTTCCTATCCAGTGAAGCAGGTTCCTAAATTGTGGCTCGTTTTTGCCACTGTGACTCCAGTTGGTGACGAACCTTTGTCAGAGCACCTGACATCAGGTTGAACAAATCATGCACAGAAGGTTTGTGCTTTCTTCAGCCACTCCCACTTGCAGGGGCAGCTGTTGAGCAATAGGTACCTGCCACTCATATGAAGCGGAGCTTGTGGGCCAGGCTGCTGTGGCTTATAGATGAATGATGTGAAATGTCAGTTGCTTCAATTGGAAATTTGATCCAGAGGTTTCTTGTTCCACTTTAGCTGTTGAAGCAACCCTCAAATTCACATATGCGGAGAAGTATCCAGATGAAGCCCCACTCTACGAGCTGTTTTCACAAGAGAATTTAGAAGATAATGACATTACAGACATGCTGAAATTATTGCAAGAACAGGTAAGCAGTATTCAAACCAAACAGGATCATCTTGATGTCAACAGTACATTTGTTAAAAAGAGACGATAAGTCCAGCTATTGCTCTGTGTAGAGAAGTTGATATGCTTCACAAATGGGGAATAAAGGCTATAATTGTGATATTTAAGGTTTTTTTTCAAACTCAAGAATAGTGTCAAATATGTAATGTTATATACTTCGTTGTTGATGATTTTAGTTTATTTCTTAAAATGTGGTTCATCTACTCTTCATTCCTTTTCTTTATGGGAAGGCCTGAGACAAACTCCTGCACATCTGACAGAGGATTACACTATTACTAGCAAAATCAGAATGAGTGCAAACTCCGAAACTTTTGCTTATGGACTTTGAAGCTGATAGATTTGCACTGAAAAGTTGAAAAAAAAACCCTTCACTTCCAACTCTCCAGGAATCCTAACTGAGAGTTTGACGAGATGTGGAAGTAGATTACAGTGGTGCCTCGCTTAACGAGCACACCGTACAACGACGAAATCGCATAGCGATCCCTTTTTTGTGGATAGCTAATGCGATTGCTCAACGAGTTTTAGATAGGGCGAAACTCGCTCTACGAAGGTCGGTAAGCGGTTCGCTTACCGACCTTCGCTTTGCGACCCGCCGATCAGCTGTTCGGTGGGTCCAAAATGGCCGCCGGAAGCCCCAAAATGGCCACGCACAGCGTTTTCGCGCCCTCGTTAAGCGAGGGGAGGGCGCGAAAATGGCTGCCGACCATCCTGGAACATCGCTGAACGGTGAGTAAAGGAGCCTTTTGGAACGCATTAATGTGTTTGGAATGGCTTTTCCTGCCCCGTTCAGCAATGTTTCGCTATAGCGAAGGTTAATCCGGAACGGATTAACCTCGCTATGCGAGGCACCACTGTATATATTTTCACAAAGGGTTGCCATATATATTTCATAAGTGGTGGTGGTTTCTCGTTAAATCTGTTGTTGTTTTGAAAGATAATAACTGCATAAATTCAAATGTGGAGTTTTCTAAGTGATTTTTGGCTGCTCCTTCAAGTGTGGTGTCAGTGCCAGGGACAGCATCATTCTGTGCTGGGTTGTTTCAATTTACCAGCATAGTTGAGACTCCAAAGATGGGCAGAAGGCTGGTTTTTTACCTGCTGGAAGTTGCAGTTTGGACAAGAGTCTGAGTATAAATAATAAAGTGGAAGTTGTCCTTTTTGACGGAACAAAGCTTTTTTTCATCTGGAAGCCTTTACCTCATTTGGATTTTTCAGTCAATGGACTGTGTCCAACACTGCAAGTGGGTGCCCTTGCTGGTAATTCCCCTCTGCCCTCCCCACCTCTCCATGCTGTTGTGAGGACTTGGTGAACATAGTGGAAGGTAATGGACAGAGGAGAAAAAGATTTGTTACATGCGTTTTCAGTTCATATGTTGTTGGAGATCACTTTGCCGTATTACATACTGAATAGAGATACTCTCTCTGTTTCAGGCAGAGGAGAACTTGGGTATGGTTATGATTTTTACATTAGTATCGGCTGTACAAGAGAAATTAAATGAAATAGTGGATCAAATAAAAACAAGAAGAGAAGAGGAAAAGAAACAGAAGGAAAAAGAAGCAGAGGAGGCAGAAAAGGTAAAGGTAATGTTTAAAATGCTTGCAGACTTGTTACCTTGGTGGGGGGGGGATGTCTCCAGATACACTAGTAAGGTAAAAAAAAGATAAGTGAAAGAAGATATAATAATTCTTAATTCAGCAAAGCTGGGTATTGGGCGTGCAATATAGAATCAGTAGAAGCCAGAGCAGATACTATTCTCTCATGCTTGGAGAAATTTCTCCCCCCCCAAAATCCATCATGAGATATTAAGCCACTTTCCTTAGTGTCAGGTTTTGCTTTTTGAAGGCTAAATATTAAAGGCTTGCATATTCTTGATTTTGTTTTTATGAATTGATCTTAATTACCCATTTTTCGTTGTATGTATAGCAATGTTTCCATGGCACCCCAGTCACCATTGAAAACTTCTTAAACTGGAAGGCAAAATTTGATGCAGAGCTCTTAGAAATTAAAAGAAAAAAGATGAAAGAAGAGGAACAGTCTGGGAAAAATAAACTAACAGGTAGGCTGTGGCAGTTGTCTTAATTTTATGAGACCAAGGATCCAAAGAGTTACAAAAATAAACTAACAGGTAGGCTGTGGCAATTGTCTTAAGGTTGTCATTTTATGAGACCAAGGATCCAAAGAGTTACATCAGTGTGCTGCAGACACTTTCTGCTTTTTTTCTTCTGAGCATTGAGCCTAAATCTGCTATGCCAAAGGAGTAGGAAGTTCTTTTCAGCTGTAAAGGATGGTTGCCAATCAGTGTGAGTATGGGAGCTGTTCAAAATGCACATCCATGGACCTGCAGAAGTAACCATAATAGCAGTAATGATTGATAATAATCATCATGTGACATCAAGTCAATTCTTACTTCTGGCAATCCTTTTCAGGGTTTTCTAGGTAGAGTAATCTGAAGTGGTTTACCATTCCCTTCTTCTGGGGGTGCCCTGGGACTGTGCAGCTTGCCCATGGCCTCACAGGCTGGCTCTACTCAAAGAAGGCACAGTGGGGAATTGAACTCCCAACCTCTAGCTTTGCAGCCAGATATCTAAACCACTGAGCTATCAGTCTGTATAATGGTAGTAAACAAGAGTTTGAAGATTAAGTTTTTGTTACGGATGTTAAGAAATATTCAGAATAAATTTATTATCATTTTAATTCTAGTAACTGTGTCTGATCCAATATTAAATATTCCTTACAGGAAAACAGCTGTTTGAGACAGATCATAATCTTGACACATCTGACATTCAGTTTTTGGAAGAAGGTATTTTTTTCCATTTACTCCATTTTAATTGCTCTAAATTGTAGTGCTTCAAATCACAATCAAAACCGGTGCTTTGTAATTGGCTAAATGCTGCCTCTGGTGCTATCAAAGAGGATTCAGGGTTTTGTGCAGTTTTGAAAACAAAAAGCTGGTTCTTGCTCTGAGTAGTACAAAGTCTCAATAGGGTCCTCACAGAAGGCAGATTATTTTATTTCTGTTGTCCTCATCTTTACCCCACCTCTTTACCCCTGTATTGGAAGGAGGAAGCTGGTTAGGTTAGAAATTAAGCAGGTCCAAGACAAGCCCATGCTTAGGAAAGTGGAGAATTTGGGCCACTTTTTGCTTGGATTGCTTGAAATGAAAGCAAAATATATGTCATACAATGACTAAAACATGATATGCTGAAATGGAAGCAGCTAATGTAATAATGTGTCCTTAATAACACTGGCAGTTTTAAAAAGCTGAAATAATCTACCTGACTTTTCAAACAGCGTCCCATGGGCACCACATACGCTGGGTCATCTCTGGCAATCTATTAGTGCATCTCAAGTTTCTGGATTTAGCCAGTCTGTTTGCCGAATAGCAATTTCATCCACCAAATGATAGTTTCGCCTTTGAACTTAACTGTTGGCGAAACAACGGTCAAAGCCAAAATCTAAGCAGTAAATCAGAAATCCAGCATAATTTTGCTGAAATTACTATCAGCAGCATGACTCCTGCTGTATTTCTTACAGTACAATTCTGTACACATTGACTGTAGTAAATGCTCATTGCAACATTTATGCTTAATTTTGCAAATGCAGTGAGTTAAAGTCATTAGCCCAGAAGGTTTAGCTGTTGGTCTGTTGTAATATTTTACATTCTGAAATAAGAACTTTACAATTGCAGTTTTATTAATCTTAGGTTACAGAATTTCTCTATAGAATTCCATGATTTTTTAAGCTAGAGCAGCCTGGGCCAACAGAAAGAGCCAAACAAGGGAGAGTGCAGAGCAAATGCTTATTCCCGTCTTCCACCTTCCCATTTCCCAGTTCAAGAATCCTCAGAATCCTTTTCCATGCTGCCATTTCAGCTGGAGAGGGTATAAAGGATGCCCACCATACATGCAATTGAAAATCCCAGGTCAGAACAGAGGATCTGTCCAGAGTTGAAAGAATGTTCCGATATTCAGAGAAGGAACTGTGGAATTCACCTTATAAGCATTTTATTGCCATTTTTTTTGAGAGAGAGAATGTAGAAGAAATCTAAAGGACATGTAGGCTATCATTTCTATAGAGTGAGGAGGGCAAATGTTTTTAGCAATCTATGTGTTGTTTGACTAATGTTATCTGGCTCTCATTAGCCTTAGCCAGAGCTGGTGGTAATTTATAATCCAGCAACATCTGAAGGGCCATGGTTTCTGCAGCCCTGCCATAAATCATTGGATGGTCTTAGCTCATATAAAGAATAAACTCTGGCCCTAGATGAAATCAATATGCAGTCACAATGCAGCTGCAGGTTCCCTGCGGCCATGTTCAGTTGCTACTTACCTGCTTCTTGGCAGCATACTGGAAGCGGAGTGCTTACCCCACCACCCATCATCAGTTTCTGCAGGTGAGGATTGACATGTCCAGAGAGGAGAGGCTTTTGCTCACCTGCAGAGCCTACACAGAATCGGGACCTTTCTCTTCAGACATGTCACTCTCTGTGTGCATGGAGGGGCCACGTTCTCCCTCTAGGAGTATTGTTGAGAAATGGGTCAGTACCAGTGGAAGAGAGCTTCTGGACACCTTTCAGGGTGCTATGAAAGTAGGCAGGCCAGAGGATGTTACTAACACTCCCAATCCGCCACCCAGGGCAGAACGTTACCCCTTTGAAAGCTGCTTCTTTCTTTTTTTTATCTCTGCCAGCTGGAAACAGTGTGGAAGTGGACGAATCCTTGTTCCAGGAAATGGATGATTTAGAGTTGGAGGATGAAGAGGATGATCCAGATTACAACCCTGTTCATCTAGACAGCGACTAGACTGAAATTGCTGTGCCATCTAGACTGACCAAGAGATCTGAATACTTCTACACAGAGACACTCACGCATGTCGGGTTCCTTTTCAGAAAGTATTTCAGTGGCAGGAGAGTCCTCCTCTGGCAGCTTCCATGACAGAAAATAAACTGACTTTAACCTTTGAAATGTAACTTGTTAAATGTCTCTCTGGTGTTGAAGAAACTGAAGTGTGCCAACAAGGGTTAAAATGCACCAAGTTGTGAACATACGATAAATCTAAAACTGCTGTTTAAGGTCAATGTCTTGGATGTACAGTGAAAATACAAAAACAATGTTCGTGTTTTCTTTGTTCCCCATGGAAGAGGTTTATTTTAGGAGGTCAAGTTCTGCAAAGAAGTTGCAGCAATGAAACCCAAACTTCTAAATGGTATTCTAAAGATTACAAAGTATGGTACAATTTATTTATTTTCGAGGGAGAAATGAGATGTACAGGTTTGGTTTTAAAAATGTGATGCTTTGGGTGTTTGCCTCTAAAATATCAGTATTGCAAGGAATCTGTGACTAGCTGTGGGTGTGCTGACGTCTAGGTTCCCCAGAAAACTCTTCGGTTAAATCCAGGAAATGTATGCACGTAGAGTTCATGCTTAGTGTCAAGTTTTTTTGTTTTGTTTTTTTAAGTTAACTAAGAGTGCCTTAGTCCTTCTGAAGTTTCTGCCCTAAATATCTTGTCCTTTCATGAAATGCTTATGGAAGTAGATAGATACAGGGTATAAAATAAATGACAGCCTAGTAGTGCAATCTGATTCTGAGATGCAGTAGTAAGTTCAGCAGGACAGTATGCTCCGATCCTGAAAATCATAAAAGGTCAACGAAGCCTGTGAGGTGATAAACAGATGATGAAATGAAGCAGTCTTTTCTTGCTGATACTTCGGAGTTGCTATTTATTGGGGATTTTGCAGGGCCTCTCTCAGTTACATCAGAGATAGGGAAAAGTGTATTGTCCCATCCCCCAGGCCCTTGGAGAAAAGGCCTAGCAGGGAAGGCTTTGAAGCCTAGCATAGGCCTACTTCTGCCCTGGCTTCCTATGCAGAAAAGGAGCTGCCACACTGCTAGCCGGGAGCTTCCTTTCTGAAGAAGAAAGTAGGGCAGAGCTCAGCCTACGCTAGGCCTCAAAGCTTTTCCAGCTATCCATAAGTCTATGAGTCCAATCCAATCTATCATCTGTTTGTGGGCAGTAAAGATGGGGCCAGCCTGGCCTCCTGTGGGAGGGAGTTGGGAGTAGCAACAGAGAAGACCTTCTCCCGTGTCCCCGCCAAACATAAATTTGGAAGGTTGCAGGATGGAGAGAAAGACCAAGATCAGCCACATTTAAATGTGTGTCAGGTGGAATACCCAGAATGGAAAACTAAGGGGTTTTTTTTTAGTCTAAAATAATATTAATAATAATAATAATAATAATGATAAAAGATCCCATTCCAAGATAAGAGTTATAGGTCAGTAATATCTGGAGACTATAATGCCCATCTCAGAATTACACTAAAGCTATGTTATTTTCTATGTACAGAAACAAGGAAATAAAGATTATGAAAAAGGTTAGGTGCTAGTACTGTAAATATGACACATTACGTCATACTTAATGTTATTGTGGGCTTCCTGCAAGAGGCCCAGGACCTGAATATCATTACAGGTAATGCTCATAGTTCAAGTACCATCTTGTGGATCAGGATATGCAGATTTTGTCTAGAAAGACGCTTTATAAATAGTCAAATAGGAAAACCATCCTCTTAACAATGGGCTCCAGCTTGTTTCAGTTCATCCCTGCACAGTGGCATAAAATCCCTGGCCTTGTTTATGAAAGCTGGCTGGCATGACTGCATAGTGAGTCAGCAGGGTCAGTCACTATGCCCCATTAAGATAGCTGGATAAGATAGCTTCCTTGCCTTGAGCTAAGAAGTCAAAGTTCTAAAGGCATAGTATTTCCTAACAACGGATTACTGAGAATTCTGAACTCTTGTGTGATCCATGTTAATGCCAGAACAGATCCAGCTGTTCAGAAGAGTGAACTTAACATCACTCCACTTTCACTCTTCTGGAAACTGGCTGCCCAAGTTTTAGTTTTTCCAAGACCACAACTGCTATAGGGGTCCTGAAGCCTTTTGTTGCCTCTGTTATTATTGGTCTGAGGCTATCTCTGCTGGCATAGACATGGCTTACAGCTCTTGTCTCTCTCCCAGGTAGCTACCAAGGTGCCCACTGTAGCCCCTGGGCAGAGGGTGCTTTTGCTCATTCTTTTGAGAGTGATCTGACAGGCACTAGTTTGCCTGCCCTGCCCTTGGATATCTTAGCTAGATGTTTCCCTTTGTCTCCTTGCACTCTGCTGTCTGACCCAATAATGTCTTATCTTGTCCTTGAGACACCCATCTGTTTGACTTCCATAATATATGTATGTTTTGCACAACTTATGTCAATAGACAGGTGAGGAAAATAGTGTTTTAGGAAGTAGGTGCTTCAGAGCTGAACACCCTTCTTAGCTTCCCATGCAGTGCTGGTGTTGTGGGTGAATGAAGCAGAATATGCTTATGGGGACAAGATTCAAGGAGGTTAAGGCTATTAGTGGTTGCTAGTCATTAGTTATTTCCAGTACCAGGCAGCATATATCCTAATAGCATCAGCTGGAAGCACAAAAGAGAGTGGGTGATTGTGCTTCTGTCCTGCTGGTCAGCTTCCTATATCTATCTGGTTGGCCAATCTAAACAAAATACTAGTTAAATAGTCCTCTCCTGTGATCTAAAAGAAGTCATGTTCTTATAGAAGTGGGCAACTCAGTCTGTACTATATCATTGGGCTGGTCTTTGCATATCAAGGGGTTTGCTCGGGAGCTGTGGGTTGGGTGCAAAACAAACCAGATCTACAGCCTAATGCTTACTAGAGCAGTAAGACATCACTCAGATGTTTATATGGGCTTTAGAAAATGAACCATATACTTCCTCATGTGAACAGCAAGGGGCATAATAAGTATGGAACACAGAATAGGTATTTGGTGGATGTGTTGAAGTTACATTTGGATCATAATGGAAACTACTGAAGCTTTGGGAACCCACAGAAAAGTAATGGAAAAAAAATTCTGTTTCAACTAACCACAGCTTGTCTTGTGTCCACAAACAGTGGATATGTCTAAATATGGCTTGTCAAAAAAAAACTAAACAAAAATAAAAACCCTTCGTTAGTCTGGTTTACAATCCTGGCTTGTTCAGATAAACCAAAGTTAACCACAGTTTCCAGTTTGGCCAACAAGAACCAATAACAATTAATTGGAAATGGAATCCAAAGCTTCTGATCTCTTCACAGCTTGAAAAACAAGAAATGGGATATAAAGTCATGACCAGACAATACTAACCACTGTATTAGCCTGATGGTTAAATGAAGCCATTGTCTCTTTATAAAACTGAACTCCCTTGAAAAATCACACATACTGATGCACAGATTACAGTCCGGATTATATCTTATCTCACACCCTGTTGAGATCCAGAACTGCCATTAATAAGTATTCCTACCAGGTATAGAAATGGCATGATTCTTTTCTCTCCAAAACCGGCCTTTTGCTTCAGAGATTCTTATTCTTATTGGTTGGATTTGTTCTTACAGGTTTGTGCTCTGTATTCGCAAGTTAAAGCACACACTGACCCATTTTCTGTATAAATGTCTGTGTTTGATCTTTTTGCAGTTTGGGAATAACGTGAATGATGTAATGGTAAATTAGGACCAAGACTCCACTAAGGTTCCATGTCTCCTTTGGTTATAGTCTATAAATAATTTTCCTTTGCATAAATGACAACTTTCATCAAATCTGTGTAGGGCAGAAACATTCCAGAAATTTATACCAATTTATAATACAGAAAGTTTTGGTATCACAGCAAATGTTGCTGATGATTAAGGAATGCTAATGAAACTATGCCTACGTTGTTTGGGTAGACTGCATTTATGTAGTCAAGACATGATGTAACTAAGGCATGGATGGCTGTTGCCAGGTTAGGTTGTTTCAGTACAGGTTGTAGCTCTTGTAGTTGTGCAGACAAACTCATAATTGCTGTCACTCAGAAATCCAGGGACAGTGAAGTCAAGTTCTTTTATAGAACAGTTTGGATCCCAGTCTCTGGGGCCGACTTTCTGTTTGCTGGCAGCACCTCTGTCTTTTCAACTTACTTTCATCCACTGCATTCTTGAGCTCAGGCAGCACTGAGCATTTAAGCAGCATTCTTGACTCTTTCCTCAGTATTAGAGGAGACAAGGAGTAATAGACTGAAAGTATTGTCAATATATTAGTGGCACTTCACTCCAAAGCTTTGAATGACCTTTCCCAGCAGCTTGATATAATATGGAGGATAAGGTAGAGATTTTGAGGGGATATTAAACGGAAAAGGCTGTGGTGCCAGTGTTCCCTAGCACCATCTTTTCAGATCATTTTGACAGGAAGAATAGGAACTCCTGCAGTTGAAATGAAGTCTAATCATTATCCGGGAGTTTTTGGAGTTGCAGGAGCACCACTGTCTCATTTGCCTTAGTTAGAAATGGCAAATTTGAGACTGATCAGAAGTTCTGGGTGAAGGGTAGCTTTCTCTAACAAAAAATTATAGGAGTTTCCTTTAGATGGGAAGGGGATTGGACTCAATGGCCTTATAGCCCCCTTCAAGCCCCATTATTCTATATTCACTGGATGCTTGGAATGGTGAGGTACATGGATGACATTTTTCTAATCTGGAGCCATGAAAAGGAATTCCTTTTAAAAAAATCCAAAAATATTTCATTAACTTTCACCAAAACATCAACCTCACCCTGCAACCATCTACACAATAGGTTCATTTTCTAGACACCGCTGTAAACTACAACATGGACATCACCACGCTGTACTGTACTAAAAATCCACTGATCAATATGCCTACTTGCATGCTTCCAGCTTCCATGCTGAACACACAAGAAAACTGTTTACAGTCTAGCCTTTAGATACAATCACATCTGCTCGGACCCACAAGATAAGAGATTCCAAACTCAAGGATTTACAAAATGCATTCCTCAGGCTACATACCCACAGAATATTTTTAAGGAACAAATTAATAAAGCAAGATGGATACTCAGAAGCAACCTACTACAGGATAGACCCATAAGGGAAAATAATCAAACACCACTAGTTGTCACTTTTCGTCCACAACTGAGACCTCTCCCAGGCCTCATAAGTGATCTTGAACTCATCCTCAACAAGAACACTTTGCTCTCACGAGCCCTTGGTGGCAGACCCATACCGGCTTATACACTACCCTACAACCTCAAACAACTATCGACACAGAGATGGGAACAAAACCCAGATGCCATTCCACCACCACATTTATTCAAGCCACACAATTACTGGAGCTAACAATGTCATGCACAATATCAAAGGCAGTTTTACCTGTTTGTCAACCAATGTTAATTATGCCAATTTTTTTTGCCATTAATGCCCATTTTCATTCTACATAGGACAAGTGGGACAATCTATGCAAACGAGTCAATGAATGTACTGTAAATCAGACTTCAGGAATTGCAACACAGAGAAACCTGTTTCACATAATTTAAATTTACCAGGACATTCCACAGAGTATTTGAAAATGGCCATCCTAGAAAAAAGAAACTAGGACAGGAATCCAGAGAGAAACAGCTTAGATAAAATATATATGCATGCTAAACACACACGCCAATGGATTTAATATAAACCAAGGCTTTGGGGCCCCTGATCAGATACAAAACCTACAAATATTGTACTGTACTGCATCTCCCAGATATCCCCCGCCCCAAAAGATCCACCTTAGAAATTTCTAAGGTAAAATAGATTCTTTATTCTACTCTTGTGATGATCCATTGCCTGGCATAACTTACACACTATTGAGACTGATTACAAAGAAAAGTTTGTAGGGGGGGAAAGTTTATCAACGCCTGAAAATAGCCTATTTAATTAATATTCATGTTACTCTACCATTGTAATTTTACCATTGTTAATTTATAACACAGTTTCTCCCATTCTTTACAGCACAAGCTTTTATGAAAGAGTAGGCATCCTTCAGTCTCGAGAGACTATGGTAACATGTTTTGAATAGAGATTTTGGAACAGCGTCTATGGTGGCTGAGAAGGCCAATTCGAGAGTGACAATCCCTTCCACACTGAAGACAGATACAGTCTGTCTCCTGTCCAGCTCCCTGATTTTGCTGGGCTTGGGACTGCCTCTTTGCCTCTCCCTGCTGAAGAAGTGTCTCTTCAAATTGGGATAGGCCATGCTGCACTCCCTGCCTCGAGGCTGAACACTCAGATGTCAAGGTTTCCCATCTGTTGAGGTCCATTCCTAAGGCCTTCAGATCCCACTTGCAGATATCTTTGTATTGCAACTGTGGTCTCCCTCTGGGGTGCTTTCCCTGCACTAATTCTCCATACAGGAGATCTTTTGGAATCCGACTGTCAGCCATTCTCACGACATGCCCAAGCCAACGTAGACATACTGTAGCTATTTCAGTAAAGCATACTTGCTAAAAATTCCAGCTCGTTCCAGGACTACTCTATTTGGAACTTTGTCCTGCCAGGTGATACCAAAACTGCGTTGGAGACAACACATATGGAACATGTTCAACTTCCTCTCCTGCCGTGCACAAAGGGTTCAGAAGTCACTGCAGTACAGGAGTGTACTCAGGACACTGGCTCTATAGACCTGGATCTTGGTATATGCCGTCAGCTTCTTATTAAGCCATACTCTCTTTGTGAGTTTAGAGAACATGGTAGCTACTTTGCCAATGTGTTTATCCAGCTCAACATCTAGAGAGAGAGTGTTAGAGATCGTTGAGCCAAGGTACACAAAATCATGAACAACCTCCAGTTCTTGTGTAGAGGTGGTAATAGAGGGAGGTGAGTCCACAGCCTGGCCCACGACTTGTGTTTTCTTCAGGCTGATTGTTAATCCAAAGTCTTGGCAGGCCTTACTAAAACGATTCATAAGTTGTTGGAGGTCTTCAACAGAACAGACAACAACAGCTGCATCATCAGCGAAGAGGAAGTCCTGCATGCATTTCAGCTGGACTTTGATCTTCGCTCTCAATCTAGAGAGATTAAAGAGCTTTCCATCTGATCTAGTCTGGAGGTAGACACCTATGAAAGACCTGGATATCAAAGGTGCTATCATCGCAATGTTTAACACCATTGATTTTTCTTACCAACCAACCACAATCTCTGTATTTTGATATCTATAATTTGATGCTATGCATAAATATTTGCCATGTTATATCTCCTTCTGTTATGTCTGATGAAGTGGACTTGTTCACGAAAGCTCACATTAAAAAATATACAAGTTAGTCTTTAAGCTGTCACTGCATTTTTGTCCTTTTTTACTTTTTACTTTTTACTTTTATTTTTTAGTTTTTATTTTGTTTTGAATAATATATTTGTTTTGCACAGATTGCAAATCCTGTATACTCTTCCCTTCTGTTCACTCAGGCATCCTTTCCTCTGATGACCCACTCTTCCCATAGGCAATTTTCCCCTCCCCTTGCTCACCCACTAACCCAATGATCTTCCTTTCTTTATACCTTTTGAGATGTTCATCCTCTTCTTTCATGCATCTACCCAAGTAATTTTCTCTCCCCCACCCTTGATGTTCCTTTGCTCTGTTTTTCCTCTCATTGTGCCCCTCCACTCTTTTTTCTTAATTTGTAATTCTTTCCCCCCACCCTGAGGCTTTCTCATCTTAGTAAAAACTTGTAACATGCTGTCTCATATCATAGTACTCTACTCCCTACATACCAGTCTCATAAACTTTGAAAAGAACTTGTTTACATTCTGAAATTACCATTGTAATACATATTTAGTAAAAATGCTTATCTTTGTTACTTCACTTCAGTAGTATTATCCAGACTGAGAGTCCTATAAGCTTGCTACCTGTTTAGCAATTTTTGGTCATGTACTGTATAATAGGATTATCCTGTAAGTGTCTTGATTTTTGGCTGATGTGCTTATTTCAGTTCCCTTTCTTCTATCGCCTTATGGTTCTGGCTGCATAAATTGAATGAACAGCCACTGTGAGAGATGGCAATATGTATGTGTGTGGACATGTATGCCTGCATTAGATACTTCCATATATTTGGGGCCTACCAGAAGTTGCAGGAGCATTTGCTCCCTCTATCTTACAGTGCTTTGTGTTTCCCACCAGGTGTCCCTCCTGCATATGTACAAGAAACTCTGAGATTTGTAGTTTTTAATAAATTATTTCAAATGAGGAAAACAAAATTCTATTCTGTTTTAGTTATTTGGAAGTGTTTTTTTAACAACAACAACAACATAGAGAGGAATGCTCTATCCCCATCTCCCTCTCTTGTCACTTCATGAAGAATGACAAGTTGGAAGAGACACCTTTTGTGGGGGCTCTCCACATGAGTTTGGAGTACTGGGAAATCATGGTCCCGTCTCATCTGAAGAGCTGTAACAGTTTCCAGAATTCTCTCTTTTCAGGCTTGTCATCTTCTACATGAAAGTGAACCCTCACCAAGTTTGCCTGGCAACACCAGAAATAAGCTCATTGGCTGAAAGAATGCAGGATGAAAGCCAATCAAGAAGAGACTGGAAGATATTAAAAGGGTGAGAAGAATAAGAAGAGGGAGAGATAGAGAGTTAAATTGTTTCCCAAGGAGGAAGGAGAGACTTAAGAAGAGGGAGTTACATTGTTTCAGGTTGTTTGGATGATATAGTGGGCTGTAAAAAAAAGAGAGAGAAATATTTTGTATCAAGGAGAAGAAGGAAAACTGGCATGTACTGTATTTCCTTGAAAATAAGACAGGGTGTTATATTAAATTTTGCTCCAAAAATGCATTGGATATTTTCAGGGGATGTTTTATTTATTTTCATGTACAACAATCTACATTTATTCAAATACAGTCATGTCATCTTCTTCTGGTTGCTGCACAATGGTGGAGGGCATGGTTTCACTGAACTGGGGCTTATTTTGGGGTAGGGTTTATATTAGGAGCATCCTGAAAAATCATACTAGGACGTATGTTCAGTTCAAGTCCTTAAATTTGGGGAAACAGGGTATATTAATGTAACCTCAAGCTGAAATCTATGTTGTTTAACTGGTTGTTGTGCTTCAATAAAGATCTCCTTTTTTATGTTTACAGTGTTGCTTCAAATTGCCCTAGCACAGTTTCTGACTGACTCCAGCAAAACTCAAAAGTTCTGGGTAACATATACGTGGGAATAGGTTTCTATAAAGCAGGCATTGTGGTATCTCTGCTTCATAGTGGTATGGATTAAAGATGTATTTTGTTCCTTTTCTCTTTCAGTCTGGAAGTGGACTCATAATTTGTCTTTGATATCCCAGCAGAACTTGAAGGGCAGCTTTTCCAGCCTCTCTTTCATAGTGCTGTCAAACAGTTCACTCTGTGCAACAGTCATCGTGTTTTTCCAATCTCCAATAGTACCTGGTATAGAAAGGAGAGAGGAAGGGAGAGAACAGTACTAATTATCTGGGTGGTCCACACTGCTGTCTTTTGCTGTCGGGAATCAATGCAGTTCTTTACAATACATCTGTGTGCTTGCATGGCCTCCTGTACTTGTTTTGTGTATAAAGAAGTTGGGTGAAAGTGTTAGGGACATGTGCTCAGTGAGGGAAAAAATTAGACAGGAAACACAGAAAATCCTGGCACCATGTGAGCATGATTCATTTGACTCATTCAAATGTTTTACCTTCTTAATCATAAACCCAACAACAAAGCTCACATTCTTGAGCTAACGGGTGAGCCTATGCACAATCCTAGGATATTTAGGAAAGAAATCAGATGAGCATAACGACAACCACTTTTTAGTTAGATAAACTCACACAGAGTTTGGGAGTAACTCAGTTATTTGCAAAAAAAAAAAAGCTGTCCATCTGGCAGGCACAGCTCAGGGGCAAGAAGAGTGCTCATGAGTTATATATTTTCATGCTATTTTCAAAGGACATTCTAAGGCATTTTAAAGCCATTTTACAGGACATTTTATGCCATTTACTTAAGTCACACTTTTGAAGAGTGACTGAACAGCATTGGCTATGAGATAGGAAGAAAAGAGAAGAGATGCATCAAATCAGTGGCAAAGCATAAGCCCACATGTTAGAAATAGGGATGGGGCTTACTTTCATGTAAACATGAAAAGAAAAAAAAATGAAACAGGGTCCTCCCTCCCCTCTTGTGTTGATTTCCAAAAAGCCAGCCTCTTGAACATGGATGATTAATTTAAATGAAAGGGGTACATGGAATTATGTGTTATGTCATGTTTCCCTCTCTTGCTCTCTCTTCCTTTTGCCTGTTCTCTGCCAAATCACCCAGGAAATTGCCTGAGAAGTTTTTCATCCAATAGCAATGTAATCAGGATGTCCAGGAGTGGAGGAGCTGGAATTTTGAACATGTAAAAGGGGCTGGATTGGTTGGAACCCAGTGACGGAAGCAGTTTGCTTCAATAATTCTTTTTGGAATCAATTTCCTAGATTCAGAATTGCAGAGCTGGAAGATACAAAGATCATCAAGTCCAACTCCTGACAGAGCAGGAAATCTACATCTAAGGTATTCCTGGTAGATGACCATCCAAGTTCTCCTTAAAAATCAGCTGTGAAGGAAATGCCTGGTGCCTTTCATCTTGCATTGTGCTCCCTATGCTTGGCTGTCTGACTGCTGGATGCAGAAGAGAAGAATACAAGTGATGGGGGAGAATCATCCTCATATTATTGTCATTTTGACTGATTGTATTTTTGCCTTTATTTCCTTGCTTAATTTTTTTTTCAACCACAGTACTGTGTGCCATTTTCTCTATCAGATCTCTAGATTCACTCTGGTTTTGACAAGGCTAGAATGGAAGAAAATCCATATTTACAGAGCATGATCTTTTCATTTACTTTTTCTAAGTACTTCTGTAACACGCTAGGTCTAAATCTATACTAATGAAATTATGCTATATAATTAAAATCCACAATAGATAATTATCAAAGCTAAAGGGAGCAGAAAGCAGTAAATAACTGCACAACAGAAGCCTGGAAAATAAAAATAAAACATTGGAGATTTTGTTGTTGCTCCTGTCTTCTTTTTCTATGTTTTTCCATGATGAGGTTAAAGTGATACCCTGGGGTATTCTATGCATATCAGTATCAAGATGGTTTGACCACTGACTTACCTTTGCGTAGAAAACCCCCTTTCCTTGAATTGAAGAGCTCAGGATAGTGTTCTAGACAGAAATCAACATTTCTTGTAGGATCCATTTTCATTTTATGAAAAGCAGCTTTAGCTATGACATCATCCACCTCCTTTTCATTCAGCCTTTTTCCTAGGAAGTTGCATATCTTCAACACAGAACTTCTCAGATCCTAAAATTAAATGTCAATTAGGTTTGACACCATGAAAAAACTACAAAATCATACAGTGGATCAAGTGTGTTTGGTGGAAATGTGTTATTTTAAAAGCTTCCCTTCCTTCTTGCTTCCTTCCTTTTCCAGGGGGAAGATGTGTCTAAGGCAGATGGTATCCTCTCATTTAGCATTTATGGATACCTTACACTCGTCTTTGTTTTGGTCTGATTTGAGGTCTTTTCATGGCACTATATTTCAATAACTGTAGTATCTGTTGCTTTTATGTATTTATGTATTTATGTATTTATTTATTTATTTATTTACTTACTTACTTACTTACTTACTTACTTACTTACTTACTTACTTACTTACTTACTTATTGGATTTTTACCCCGCCCCTCTAGACCAGTGGTTCTTAACCTTTGTTACTCAGGTGTTTTTGAACTGCAACTCCCAGAAACCTCAGCCAGCAGAGCTGATGGTGACGGCTTCTGGGAGTTGCAGTCCAAAAACATCTGAGTAACAAAGGTTAAGAACCAGTGCTCTAGACCCTAGGTTCTTAACCTTTGTTACTCAGATGTTTTTGAACTGCAACTCCCAGAAACCCCAGCCAGCACAGTTGGTGGTGAAGGCTTCTGGGAGTTGCAGTCCAAAACTCCTGAGTAACCCAAGGTTAAGAACCAGTGCTCTAGACAATGTCTACTTTTACAGTATATTGATTTATATTTGAGGGATGTGGTGGTGCTGTGGGTTGAACTGCAGAAGCCTGTGTGCTGTAAGGTTGGAAGACCAGCAGATTTAAGATTGAACCTAAGTGATGGAGTGAGCTACTGTCACTTGTCCCAGCTTCTGCCAACCTAGCAGTTTGAAAGCATGTAAAATTCGAATAGATAAATAGGTACCACCTTGGTGGGAAGGTAACGGTGTTCCATGTCTAGACATGTTGGCCACGTGACCATGGAAACTGTCTTTGGACAAATGCTGGCTCTATGGCTTGGAAACGGGAATGAGCACCACGCCCTAGAGTCGGACATGACTGTACTAAATGTCAAGGGCCACCTTTACCTTTACTTTTATATTGATGCTATGTGATGTTCTCAACTTTTAAGATAGCTGGGATTAATATTGTTGGATATTCTCACATATATGGATACTTTTAACAAGCTGAACAGTATGGCTTAGAAGCGTATCATTCTGATATAATCAGTTCCTTTATGCAACTAACTTCAGGCTGTGCTACAGTACCATTTGAATTTACATTTAAGTCCACATATTGTGCTCTGTATGTGATTATGAGGAAATCCATTGTTTAGAACAGGGGTCTCCAAACTATGGTCAAAGGGGCAAATCTGTTCCATCTTGCCTTTTTATCCAGCCTGGACATAGGAAGAGGAGGGAAGGGGGACCCAAGTGATTCCCCACCCTCACTGTCTTTGCAAAGATAGGGATCACTTGCGTCCCCCTTCCCTCCTTCAGCGCTCAAAAATGTGCAAAATATATGATGTGACCCTCATGCTGAAAAGTCTGGAGACCCCTCGTTTAGAAGTTTATATCGTATTGCTGAAGAAGACTCATCAACTTCAAATACATTCAATTTTGCTTGTGTTTTTAAAATGTTTTTTTTTTATTTTTAAATGCTTCTAAATTTATATGTTGTATTATTATTGTGCATTTGTCAGCATGAAATAACTTATGTTTATGTTGGTTGACTTTTTTGTATTAATTATCTTTATTATTATATGGAGTATATTGCATGGAGTTTTACTTGTTTCTCCCTTATAAAAATGTTTGCCTTTGCACAATTATGTTCACGTTATCTGTGAAGCTGAGTCATGGCAACTGCACTTCTTCTAAGTAGCAAAACGTTTCAACCTAATAAGAAAGTAGTCCAGTCCCCATGACTCAACTTCCAGATATATTCAGGTTCTTTTACAAATAGAATCGAACTTATATTAAGTCCTTGTATGTGATAATGGAAGAATCGATTATTCAGAAGTTTATATTGCATTGTTTCTGGGTGGGAGACCAAGGTTAAAACACATTTGTGCTTTTTCTATTTTTGAATCTTTATATGTAAAATCCTATGACTATTGCTGTTTGACAGCCAGAGTGAGATGATTCAAGTGTGCTTTTGTGTGTGTGTTTTAAATCCAGTGTTTTTCTATTAAGTGTCTTATACAGCCCTTTTTACTTCTTTTGTTCTTACCTTCTTCATCTCTTCAAAAGTAAGGAAGAGAATGTTGAAGTCATCTCTATGAGTAGACCAGCCTTCTACATGGTCCAGCCATGAGCCAGCTAGCACTGACAAGGGGGGAAAATCATGTGGCAGAAACATTAGAACGAACATAAGTGACAACTGGTGCAGTTATTCCATGTGCTGCGTGTGGCAAAATTACAGTTCATTTCCCCCCAGTTAGACATTTCCAGTGCTACAACTCCCAGGGCTTTCTCTCCCTCCACAGTTTGGAACAATATTTCACAACAACAACAACAACAACAACAACAACAACAACAACAACAACAACAACAACAAAAGCAAGACAATGTGGCTAATGCACAAGTCTCCAGAGAAACATTCTTTTAGGTGCAAAAGCAGATGGGGGCAAATGTTGCTACATATTTTCATCCTGAAATATGACTGTTTTGTTTGCTGTTTCTGTCAGCCAGCAATAGCTTCCTCCAGGATATTGTGAATCTTCTTGCCCCCCCAACCCCGGAATAAAGCGCGAGACAATAGTATGGGTTTAAATATGGGCCACACTTTATTAAACACACAATCATAATCAAGATTTTATTCTGAAGGAGGGGCCTGCTGTAGTGCGGAAACCTTTAAAGAGGGTTATCATAAGGGCGAGTCCCCGGCCGCCCAGGATCCCGCGACCATAAAGTATCTCAGGGACCTGGCCGGCCGCTAGCCCAAACCCCCAGACCTTTATCCCCCTTTGTTTGAGGGTTGTTAGTCTGGAGTGGCCCAGTGCATCTCTCCGCCACAGGCACTGTAATCGCACGATCCGCAGTGCCGCGCGGTAGGATGCACTGTTGGCTTACTTGAACTTACTGCGGGACCCACCGTAGATGCCTATTTTTCCGCACTACCCGCCACGGCATAGGGACTAGCCTGGCTATGTCCCATGCCCGCCACAGAGCCCTGTGAGCTCAGCAAGCAGGCCCCCCCGAATGTCCTCTAGAAATACCTCCAGACCCTCATCCGACAGATGCACGCCGTCACTCCGGAACATTTGTAGCCTCTCGGCTTGAATGTTGTGGTGCCCTATCACAGATCCAATACCGTTGCAGACGCCTCTGCA